TTCATACGACTTTAGTGAACTGTTTTTGGTTATCTGTTGAATTGTTTAAGTTCCTAATTCTGGCCAACAAAGCTATTTTGACATTCCTCCTGTTTTCAACTATATATCTATGTGAAATGAGCTTCTCAAGCTTGACAATTACAAACTAAAAACAAAGAGAGAACTATTGAGGAAGAGCTTTGTTTGTGTCTTTCTACCATTCCTCCCAGGATATCCCTTTGGTGTCATCAAAATAGGCCCAGGTTTCACACTAAGTGAGTATACTGTAAATACATTTAGAAAATATATTATTAAATGTATCGATAATATGTACTGTATTAGGATGTAATTTTGTGTCATTTTGGATGGTGGTGTGTCCCAGGATTTTGTAGATGCAACCCCGTAGCTCAAAAAGGTTGAAAATCACAGCCTTAGAGCATCTGCAAAAACGTAAAACTATACTCTCACTCCTGTTTGTCAGGTAACAAAATAATGGGAGAGGCAGCAGAAAGACCAAAGATAAGTATGAAAGAGTTGGCCTACATTCAAAAGGTTGGGCCTTAACGAAAGAATTTCCAATAAAAAAGAATTGCTCGTTTCTAAATGTAAAAATATGTATGCAGGTGATTTCCTGACTTTGGAGAGGGAGGTTCTCTAATCAGATAAGACTAAATTGTGACTTTTTCCCAGAAAACAATGTATTGGCCAAACACCCAATCCCCAAAAAACATGGTGGTGAGAATAAACAATTACTTGTTGAAGTCATCCTATTTCTTTTCCCCTTCACAATAAAGGCTCAAACCGGTTGCGTACCCCTTTTTTAACTCTGATACGAATAACTTTCACGTCATACAGCTTTTAGAGAGGCTCCGACTAGGCAGGATGAGCAGATCTGTGTAAAAAAAATTTCACGTCTCTCTCTGCCGCACACAAATTAAAACAATTTCCCACATTTGAGTTGGACAGATAATAAAAAAGTTGTTAGAAATAAATTAATTAAATAAACCACCAGTAAGTCTGCGTAGCATCTTAAACTAGAACAGATACCCTAGAGTGTAGTCTTCAACAGGGGGCCCACAACCCCTAGGGGGTCCACAGAGGTACTGCATGGGGGTTGGGAAAGTTTTGTTTGATTAGACTTTTTTATAATTCCCCCTGCCACTTTTATCCACTAATTAAAATGCCTTTAATACAGATTAACATGAATTAAACACACTGTAGTAAACAGATAAATGGAGGCAGACAACTGTACCATCAATGAGGAATCCGAATCAGAAATACTTTAATAATCCCAGGGCGAAATTACTTTCATTACATGACACAATTTGTAATAGAGTGACTATAGGACCAGTTTGATGTAACACTGTTTCATACAATATATATAATTAGGGGTTCCTTGATCTGGAAAAAGTTGAAGCCCCCTAAAGAATTTTCATATCCATTGATCCATCCATCCATTTTCTTCAGCTTATCCGGGGCCAGGTCGCAGAGGCAGCAGTCTAAGCAAAGATGCCCAGACTTCCCGATCGACACAAACTTCCTCCAGCTGCTCTGGGGGGAACCCAAGTTGACACCAGGCCAGCTCAGAGACAAAGTCCCACCAGCGTGTCCCAGGCCTTCCATAAGGCCTCCTCCCAATGAGATATGCATGCAACACCTCCCGGGTTAGGTGACCAGAAGGCATCTGAAACAGCTGACCGAGCCACCTCAGCTGGCTCCTTTGACGTGGAGGAGCAACGACTCTACTCTGAGCTTCTCCGGAGTAACAGAGCTCCTCCCCTGATCTCGAAAGGTGCACCCAGCTGAGAAGAAACTCATGCACTTTTGGTCATTACCCAGATCTCATGATCATAGGTGAGGGAATCAATCGATAAATTGAGAACTTTGCCCCCAGACGCAGCTCCATCTTCACCACGACAGTCCGATACAGTGACCATATCACTGCCGACTCCACACCGATCCATCTATCAATCTAATGCTCCATCCGTCCCTCACTCGTGAACAATACCCCAAGATACTTGAACTAATCCACTTGAGACAAGGACTCTCCACCGACCTGAAGAAGGGAGTCCACCTTTTTCCGGTGGAGAACCATGGCCTCGGATATGGAGGTGCTGATCCTCATACCGGCTGCCCCACAATTAGCTGCAAACCGCCCCAGTGCATGTTGGAGGTCTTGGTTTGATGAAGCCAGCAGGACAACATCATCTGCAAACAGCAGTGATGATATTCTGAGGTTCCACACCGGACACCCTCTGATTCCTGGCTGCCCCTAGAAATTCACTCAATAAATGTAATTAACAGAACCGATGACAAAGGACAGCCCTGGTGGAGAACAACATGCACCAGGAACAGGTCTGACTTACTGCCGGCAATGCGAACCAAGCTCCATACAGAGAGCGAACACCCTGTAAAAGAGGGCCCCGGACCCCATACTCCCGGAGCAGCCACACAGGACTCCACGAGGGATATGGTTGAAAGCCTTCTCCAGGTCCACAAAATACATGTGGACTGTTTGGCAAACTCCCACAAACCCTTGAAAACCCGATGAAGGGATAGAGTTGGTCCAGGACAAAAACAGCATTGTTTCTCCTGGATCCGAATTTCGACAATCGGCTGGACCCTCCTCTGCAGCACCCTGAAGTAGACCTTTGGAGTAGACTCCTTCCACCACTGCATGGTGGAGTACTTGGCAGATGATTTGCCAGAACACTCTAGAGGCCGACAGATAGTCCTCCACCATGGCCTCGCCGAACTCCTCCCAGACTCTCCATCAAACTGAAGAAGGAGGCCTACCTGGCCTCATTATCTAGTGGGACTCCGGAGTCAGCTTAGGGGTACCTGCAGGCCAAGCTTTCTAGGGCTCGTGCGGTCGAAGAGGCAAAAACGCAGGCCTACGTAAAAACATAAGGAGAACTACTAATAAGTTTATTGCAGTTTTTCTTTTTTTTTCTCCATAAAGAGTTGAGAATGATAAGATTGCATGCACATTGTTTTTTTTGTGTATGTGTGTAGTCATCACACAATTTATATATCTGTTTTCTGTCCTGGAGTTTGTCAAAGTTTTTTCATTCTTCCAATACAGTGTTATGTTCTTTTTATTCTACTGTCCACCTCCTCAGATGTAAACCCACTCCTGTGTATTTATAAATAATAGTTTCTAAGGGAAACATAAAGATTAAGACTTTCAGTTCATAGGTAACAATAAATAACATACATATCGATAATATATTACATTTATGTCAGTATATACCTGGAAATATTACACACTGTACCTTTTAATGTACCCTTGCAGTATTGGGAAGGTACGCCCAACCCAACATTCCAACATATTTGTGTTTATTAAGTGGCTTTTAAATAGAACAGGATTCTTGCTGTGCTACAGGGAGAGACAAGGAAATACAGCAATATGCCACAATCTTGGTTCTGTTCTGTTTTCTTTTGAGTATTCAGTTTAACCGTGCTCCATGTTTTCTAGTTTTATTGGTTTAGTTCTTATTTTGTTGTGTTTTCTGGTTATATTTCAGTTCTTAGGTTTTTATTTGTTGCCCTCTGTTGCCCTCTTGTGTTGGTCTCCTTTTTCCCTAGCTCCTAGACTGCTCTCCTCACACCTGCACCAAATCTGCTCGTTAGTCATCTCTTTGTTCAGTTAGCCATAAATACTCTCCTTGTGCAGTTCCTCAATGCTGGTTCCTCATCTAACCTTATCCAACTTACTGTGTCTTCCTCGTCATAATGTTTTTCCCCTGAAGTCTCCATGGTTTCTGGTTTGTTTTACTTTTTTCATGTTTGATTTTTTGGATTTTTGTATATTTTTATTTGTATTCCTGCCTCAGTTGTCTACCTTTCATTAAATCTACAAGAAACTCACCTCTGCCTCCCTGCCTCTGCATCTGGGTCCTCAAACCACAACCAAATCCTGACAGAATGTTCATATGCAATAAACAGTCTCAATAGAGAAACATGCCTCAAGCCACAGGCAAAACTCACTTTGGAATGTTGACAGCCTGCTCTTTATGCTGGCTGTCCTCAGGGTTTGTTAGTGCTGTAATGACAGTTATTTCTTATTATTCTTTGACAGAAGAAGTTAAAATTCCGACCCATCCAGGTATTGCTAAGAGGCTGCAATGTTTGTAATTTAGGTCAGCCTGCATGTTGAGGGTGGAGGAAAATGGCCGTGAATAAAAAAAAGATCCTGCTGTAGAAGCTTAACTGCTAAAGAAACTTAACATTTTCAGCTCAACTCTAAACATGTCAGACCACAGGTCTCTAACAGAATTGATTGTGAACACAGCACTGTAGAATGAGAAAAGACAAATGTTAAATACACTAAAAAGGGGCAGTATTTGTATTAGTAGAAATGAAAATTGTATTCTGCCTTAATGAAATCAATAAAGTTTTTTTTTAATAATCTGTTGAATTAGTACTAGTTATTAAATACATAATGGCTATATGTAAAGACATTATTATTCTATTTTAGCTCTCACATTACTTATTAAAACCATTCTTGCTTCAAGACAGTCATTCATGATGGCTTAAGTTTGTAAGGTAAAATAATCACTCCTAAGAAGTCTCAACAAGTACTGTCAGAGCAGCACTATCACACTGCAAAAACAATCTAAAAATAATTTCTGGCAAATTCTTAAATTAAGTGTATTTACCCTTAATATCAGTGGGTCAATATGAGGATTTGCCAAATAATATGATAACATGCACTTAAAATAAGATAACTGCATTCTCTAATTTTAAATGTAAAATTGTCTTTGCTTTGGCAAGGTCTCTGTTATATCTCCTCAATAAAAGAAATACTTATTTAGATTTCAATTTTATTGCAATGCACCCGCATCTTGTAAGAAGAGAAGTATAAATATAGAAGTATATATGTATAAAAATATTGCATCAGTCACTATTTACACAGCTCTATGCAATACTTAGAAAAAATGTAAATGTAGCCTCACCCTTTAAGGAGGGGAAGACATGAGATGCAGATATACCGGTACATCAGTTTAAACATTTCGGTGGAAATGACAAGGTGAGGACAGCAAAGAAAACAAATGCAAAGGTAAATAAAAAAATATTTTATTCTTTTTACTTTTATTTTATTTGATTTTACCTTTTGAAAACACAAGCCTAGTAATCAAAGCTATAAATGTTGACTACTTTATCGTGAAAAATCGGAGAACAAAGACCATTTAGGTTATTCTCCAACCAACTTCAGTTGAAAGCTGTTGTCTTTCTTAAATGGTTAGAAAGTTTCAAGTACAGCTGCCTACTTTTAGTCTAATACTGTACAGCATTTGATTTTTTAATGCCAAAATATAAGTCACTGTGAACACTGGCCAAAATATTCATTCCAGTTTAAAACATATTGACTAAAGATTACACCCCTTAATCATGAAACATTCATGATTAATTTTTTTTTAATTAAAACTATTAGCTGAAATATCTTTGATTTTGGTTTGTAAAATTTTCTTTACTTTCAGTTATTATGCGACTGCAATTTACCTGTTAATGTTTGTTTTTCATGTGTTTATCACAAAGTAATTTGAGTCTTCTGCTTCTTTAAATTTGCTATATGGATAAACCTTCCCCTCCGTGTCTGATTTGACTGAAGAGTTAATTTTATTTCATCTTTTATTTCATGTTATAAAATGTTTCTCAGATAGTGTATATAAAGAAGGAAACATTTAAAAGTATTATATGAATTTATTCCAGTCATATTTAACAAAGTTATTTGTAAACAAATTTATGTAAGCTGAAATTGCAGAGAATGTAAAAGCCCTGAAAAGGGGGATAAGTGAGTAAATGAGCCACAGACACGTTGTTTCTTCTGCTCTAGCATGTATTAGTTTAGGAGGAAGTTCCAGTGCTCTTTAGTATGGCATACTGACGCTAGGCTCCCCCTACTGGACAGATATGGCACTACATGTGCTGAACCAAATAGAACATGACTGTACTTAAACCAAACTGCTGGTAAGAATATTGTATATATGATATAAACCCCACTCGGGACAAGCGTGTAAGAAAATGGATGGATGGATGGAAAAATAACTTTCACATTTGTAAAACATAAAGTGTGCAAATATAACCAGAAACAGTAAATACATCTGACTTATAATGACCACATTTCAATCCATCACAAGAACATACGGTATTCACAATTTTTGTGTCCAGCATACCTTTTTGACTATAGCTGTGGGACCAGATTTATGGCCAAAATCCAGTAAATGCTTACCAATTTATCAGAAAATGCCACACCCAAACAGGAGGTTCTTCTTACATTCTCCCTAAGCAATATAAGGTGATGGTAGAATCACTCACGTCATCATAGGTTAAGCATTGGAATGTCCCTTTTGCTGACTTGTTACCATACACACCCGAGCAGAGCTATCACAAGTGGAATTCACTCCTGGCAGCTTGACTGCTTTTGCCTGTTCGAAAATGTCAACGACAATTTCCACTCAATAGAGTTTTCTTCTTTATGATTTTAATGATTATTTAGAGACAGAAAATTTACCTGTGTTTAACCAACATAACCAGGTATTTCTAACTTATCTGATCAGCTTCTATTAATAACTCTGAGCTCTCCCAATTAAACTGACTAAGGAATTATTTTACTGTGTTGGTTAATGTGCACATAAATATATTTCATTTTACCAACTACCTATATCCAATGAACTTAACTGTACTTGGTAAAATCAATTAAAAAGCGCTCACTAACTTAACTGGGTTTAGTTAGACACTCACCAAATTTGGTTTTACCTAACTTACTTTATTTGTTACACTTGTAGTAGTCTTAAGTTGACAAACTAAAGAAGGCAATTTCAACAATTTCCACACAGTGTAGTTTAATAAGTTCAAAACAAACCACTTTAGTTTTATCGCACATACATTTACTTTTTCAATAAGACACAGGTAAACAAACATTTGCTAAGTATTAATCATTCTTCATCACCATCACTGGGCTCAAAGATGTTAAACAGAAAGGAAATTGAACTTTATTGATCTCACAATGGAGAAATTATCTCTCTGCATTTAACTCATCTCCTTGGGGAGTGGTGGGCTGTCACTGTGCAGTGCCCAGGGAGAAGTGTGTGGTTAAGGGTCTGTAGGGATCAAACTAGGTACTTGCAACCTTCTTAGAGCATAAGCACACTGCTCTAAGCACTAGGCCAACACTCCCCAACTGTATTTAATTAAGAGCAAATAAGTAGAAAAGGTTATTCTATTTCCTCCACATTATTAAAACTCTAGCTGCTGACTTTCTGTGTTGTGCTAATATTTTCAAATCCTATTATAATAAGAAACAACAACAAATTCAGTGTGGAAGAAAGGAACAAGATACACTAGGTTTAGGATAAATAAATTGATATAGTTACATATGATAAATACATTTAATTTTTTAATCTGTTGCATATGTATGTAAAAGAAAAAAAAGAAGTTACCAGCATCAACTTCATACTCTAATGGCAAATTCACATAACACAAAATTCTAGCAACAAAGTCACCCATTTGGGTGCTGTCACTCACCAGACATATCAGCACCAATTTGCATGGGAGGCAACAGACTGCAGTCCTTTTGCTTCACAGTGTCATCAAATAGGAGGAGCTTCTTTCTGCTGCTTGCTGGTTTCAAATTGGTTGACCTGGATATTAGTGGGCGAGTCACTGTCTATCACAGAAATCTGAACAGTGGCATCATACTGTAATACAACATGCAGTTACTGATAGGTTGTCGAAATTTTGCTCATATTTTCAACTCATATTTTCCAGCAACTGTTGCTGCACGTGTTATGGCTCTATTTAATCAGATTATTCATGCCTGTCTCCAGGCTTGAAGCTGGTCCGTTGCACCATTGTGTCTTTATATAAAAATAACATCTAAATTTCTTGGTCCAAATGCTAGATTGCATTTGATGTGAAGGCACCATCACAGGCATCAATTGTGATGAAGGTTCAAAGCTAAACCTGAGTTAATTTAGAAACCATGGAGAGACTGCAGTGATTTGCCTCCAGAAAAATAGAAAATGTTTTCTCTTCCTCTGCAAAACACAAATATGTGTAATTAATGTTACCCAGAAGAAATCTTTACCATGCACACATGGCTGTATCACTTTATCCTGAGGGATGTATAGCATTATTACATGGGAAATTTGGCAATATTCAATATTTCTAAATATCACCAAACCTTGTTTGATAAAAACAACAATAAATTACAATGTTATGACTGGCCAGACTGATCACAGGGGACTGTTTCACAAAGCAGATTTACTGAAAACTCTAACTTTTCTAAACTTGAAATCAGGGAAACTGATTCACGAAGAGAGTTTACTACTACGCCTAACGGTAGATAGGAGGCACAATCTGAAGCCATTCTATGGGACTGATAACCGCTACTAATGGGATGAAAACATTTGAAGCAGCTGCAAAGAGCCTCTTAGTATTTACTCTGTAATGGAAGATAGAATTAAACTGATGAGGAACCCCATGAGATGATGCTCAGGTCCTGCCTGTTTGAACAATGACTTCATTTTCACCTGCTGCTTTTTGCATTGCTTTGCACCACTGAGCCGCTACCTTGCTTTTCCCCTTTGGAGTGCTACAGTAACCCCCACAGAGCTGAGCTGCAATATGACTGCTTTCATCAGCTCCCTAAGTGATATTAAGGTTAAGATTATTCAAAATCTGGACTGATTCTAAGTTTTCAGAGTGACTAAGGTAAGCAGAAGAACCAGGGCCATGCTGGTGTAAAACCTTCGCCAGTAGCAGAACACAGTTCACCTTCCCCCAATGTGGGACAGTAAAAAACTTAAGAATCTATCCTATTTGACTATCAATTGGTAATTTTGCCTCAGCAAGGAGAATTAGTAGTTAGATTCCAATTTTTTGGCTCTCACCGTCACTCTATAATCAATTGACCAACAGTCAAGTTATTACTTACCCATCATTATCTAAAAAAAAATGAATTACTATAAAGTCTGGTTAAAGTAATTAATACATTGATAATCAAATAACACAAACATATGCACATCCTAAAACAGCTGGTCACACATTATGAGGTACGTATGACCAATCTGTTCATTAGTTGGCGTATGAACATGACGTATATGTATGATCAATCTGATCATACATTCCCCATACAGTCTAAAAAAATGTACAAGAGCCCCTATGAAAAAGAAACGTGTCTCTGAAATAAATAAGTCCTTGTGTGATCTCACCATATGCTGTTGTAGGATATGGTTGTCATGATTTTACTAAAGTTCATCCCAAATGCTGAAGACCAAACAGGGAGACCAGGTGGTTGGGGACTGCTGCTTTATGGGATCGTAGAGAGTGTTGAAACAGACAGACTTGAAAGCAGTGTTATTCCTGACAGAAGCAGCAGCCAGGATTCAGAAATCATTAGCAAAATCAGAAACAGACCTCTGTCCCTGGCTTAGTTTCAGCAAATCATGGGAGCTCAGTGACTTATCTGGATCCTGGTTAAAAGTCTGCTTAAAATCAAAAAGAAACTCCTCAAAAGTGCAGCCATAGTCAGAAGACAAAGAAAACTATCTCTCCCCTACCCATTCCAGAGCTCGGTCTGTGAGATGAGCAATAATAAAGGAGATCTTAGTTGAATCCAAATAAAACATACTTGGAGTGTGGTTGAACCGGGTGAAACATTGCTTGAGGAAACCCTGGCACTTCCTGGGGTTCCCGTCGAACCAGGGTGGACTGGACAGCTGACACTCAGAAAAAATGGGAGGAAAAACTGCTAGGTTAGCTCGAGGCGGGGCTAGCTCACCGGCTGGGCCCGAGGTTAAATCAGTCACACACTAGTTTAACTCAGTTTGCTGGTTTTCTAATTCAACCAAGGAGTTATCATGTCTGGTTAGGTCTGTTTGTTGTTGGTTGATGGCTCTCTGAATGGTCTCTGCTGGGTCACGGTTTGGCCAGAGTGTTCTTTCATGATTTGTTTTAGAGGTCTGACCCAAAATGCAGAGAACCACTCAGAGAGCAATGCAAAGGTTTAACAGGTTTATTGAGGTAAGGGTAGAAGGAGGGTATGGTCTGGAACTC